GAAAGTGGGCTCCATCAGCTGTAGACCACAAAAAACACCTGAAAGACATAAAACCTTGAGACACTGGAATGATGTTTCCAAGTTCTCTAGTAACGTAGACTGAAGCCACCAGAGGTGAGTTTAACACAACCCAAGTTCTTTGCTCTATTGGCAGAAGCTAAGCTCAGAATTTAGCTTAACCTACTGTTTGTGTTTTATTGGGCTTGCTTCTGCTCACACTGAATTCAGTGGGAATGCTGCTACTGACTTCCACAAAATCAGACCTTTCACAGAGGACCAACGGAGCCTCTTTCATAAGGAACGAAGCTCTGCATCCAGAGGAACAGAAATGCTGAATGCTCCTAACATTACACTGAAAAGCTGTTTTCTCCTCCTCCTTTTCTCCTTAATCCATTTGTATCTCTTCTGCACGTTCAATACCACCAATCACAATGAACCTCTTTTCAAGTTGCCTTTATTTTGTTGGCATCTATCACACTTTTGGTAGGATCAGCACCTGAGACCGTGGTCCCAACATCAACAGCTTCCGGACAACCTGGATAGTTTTATGCTGTGGCTCTCTCATTCTGGGACTGTCTCCACCTCTGATCACTCATTTTTCTTGTCCACATGGACTAAGAAAGGAGCAAGGATCAGGAAGAGAGAGATGAGGAACAGTAGAGGGAAAAGGGGCCACTAATTACTGGCTCCAGACAGAGCCTCAGAAGGAAATTGGATGGGCACTTCTGAACCTCTCTCAGAAGAGCTGAAAGAGCTGGTGTGGTATCTGAAAACCATGAAGTATAAGGCTTCAACAGCTTCACGATATGACCCATGAGTGGCATGACCTGCTTGTGGGGTGGGAAGACACTCACAGCAGGTGCTAGCACTTCCGTACAAGAGCTGCCATACGGAAGGTGTGCTTCAAAACTCAAGTAATCTTTGAGTCCTCAGTTACCACAGTCTTGTCTCAGTGAGTTACATACAGTGAAGTGGATATAGTGTTGTTTTACCATTGAGGACAGCGGGTCGGAAGATAAGACTATGAACAACACTTTGGCGAAGTCAAATCTGTCATTGTTTGTGTGAAAGGGCCTAAATCTCTACAACAGAGCACTGAAAAAAGGCTGAGTGTGAGCGGCCCGACAGGAAGCCATCCATTCAGGCTCTCCTTGGTTAGAGGCATTCGCCCCGACCCTCATCCTGCTCGGGCTTAAAGTCCTGCGGGCATTCTTCTGTGGTCCATTAAATCCTAACTGTATGGTTACCTAACAAGAAAAATGAAGCTATCAGTGTAATTTAAAAATCAAGAAACAAAAGTAAGTGTTCCCTGTTACAATTTCTCCAGCACAGCCATCTGCTTCTTTCCTCTCCACTTCTCTAGTTTACTTTGGAAAACAGATCCACCAAGGGGTTTGGGATAACTGGGGAGACAGTAGCCTAGAAAAGCAGTTTTGGCACCAGAAAAACTGCAACTGGAATGACATCCACGAGACAAAGAAGCAGCCAGCTTCTGTTGGCATAACACAGAAGAGGCCCAGCACAACACTCAGTCACTTCTCATTGCACTGCTCTTGGGGGATGCGGATTCCTTCTTTTATGCTTGTTCAACCAGGAATATACAGTATTGCACCGCTATTGTACAGCTCCAACAGATAACAGGATGCTACAAAGATGCTGGGTGTAAACAAAAGAGCAGAGATGAACTCCAGTGCTGGCTCCCCTCCATGCCCCTGACTTCTAACCACTGGTCATTAAAAAAAAAAATCTCTTCTCACACTTGAAGCCAATTAGAAGTCTGTCCACTCAAATGATCATGAAGTAAAAGCAAATATATGAAACATCACTAGATTACTTTGCAACTTCACCTACAGGTTAATTCACCATTTGAGTAAGCCATCTCTGCTAAATATTTTCATTATTATTACGTGTAATAATAGATCAGAACAAACAGCTCTTATATAAGTCCATCTGTAAAAGTCTTTCAAATAGGTTAAATTCAAAAACAGTTGAGTACAGTATTCAACCCTTTTATTTCTGTGTCCATTTATTTAGAAAACACTCATTCAAGGAATGAAAGTTAGGACTCTTGGTACAGTACAAGGTATCATCTATGCTACCATGCACTCTTTTTAGCAGAATAAAAAAGAGAAAATACACACAGCTTTAGATTAATTTCACTTGCAATTGCCTTAATCATAATAGCCACTCAAGAAAATCCACCATTGGAAAACCAATGCTAAAATGATACATTCTCTTACTTCCCTTGTTTGGCGCTAGAATGATACCATGAATTTTTTTAATTAAAATTTTTAGAAAAGACATACTTTTGCAAGACCCACTTACACTGACGCAATAGTAGCATCCCTAAAGATGGTATGACAGTTTGATGTGGAAAAACCTAGAACGTAAAGAACATTTTAGCCCAGCAGTGAGACATGGGTATGGTGTGATTTCCTACCACTCTGGGCATAAGCCTGTCACAATCCACACAGCTGAGACCAAACAAATATTTAGGTCAGAACCGCAAAATGTTTTAGAATGTAGTTGTAAACATAGTCAAAGAAATAGGATATACTAAGTGTTAACACTATACAAACAAATATCGAAGTGCACTGGCACTTGTGCGGTAAGGAAGCAGCTTTGAATACTTGCTGGTCAGCAGAAGAGTTGTATTTATTATAAAATGACATCAGAAACTGGTATTTCCCAGGTGCTTACCTGTTCTCATATCAAAGCGGGTCCTCTTTAAACTAGACTGGGAGACCCCAAGCACCACCTTGGGTCTCAGCTGTGGGAAAGTTGTATGAGCTCCAGCTGTACCTGAAATAATTAACCCGGCACCTCACTCGCACCTTTTCTTCATTTTCACAAGTGAGATTGGGCTAATAAGGGTCCACTGGGAAAGGTACTGAACACTGCGATCCATTGCAACAAAGCAATTTAGATTATTAATGGGTCTAAACAAGCACACATCTTCTGAATGGAAGGCTAGGTATTTTAGCCAGCACATGGGATGAAGGAAAGGAGGGCTGAAGCTCTTTGTACCTTATCTTCCTAAGGAAAAATATTTTAGACAAATACTCGTTTACTGTATACCTTCAACTAAGGTGCAAGTAAGCCCTTGTACAATACGTAACATTTTTCATTTCTCATACAGAAGCTAACTCTGATCACAGCTTATGCAAGGAAGTGATAGAACTGTACCCAAAATAAAAGCAGTCACATTTTCACAAGGTAAGTTTACATGTGATTTCAACCTGAATCTAAAACCACAACCTGTCACAGACTTTGTCTTAACTGGCTATTTAAATATTGTGCATTCAACCTCTGTGACGCAGTTAGGTTTTTATATTAGGCTAACTATGGCTATTTCTCATATTAGAATTTAAATCCATGTTCTAGCTAACAAACAAAAGAGCTGCTTTTTTTTTATTAGGCTTTAAGTCATTTAAATCAGCCTGAATGAAAAAAAAAGCTGCAGTATTCTTGTAAAATATTACTAAAGCCTTGATAAATATCTGGACTCTTATTCTCCACTGAGGTTTGGAAGCTCAACGAGTTTTTCAAAATAGATCAGCCCCTTTTCAAAACGGGCATATCCACTTATTTGTCATAATATATAATAGTTTATTAAATTTAAAAATTGGAAGTTCAGTTGCTTTGTGTATTATCTACATGTGTAAAAGCTATTTTCAAACAGCAGCAATAGTGTCAATTTCAGAAAAACAGTTATCTAAAAAAAAAAACAACACACTACCCGTACCAAAAGGCTAGTAGGACTAAGCCTCAGTCTGCTTTGCCAGTAAGTTTACGAAATAAAAGTCTGTATCTGTAGTTATGCAACATTTGAGGAGGTCTTCTGGAAATGTGAATATTAGCTAGAAGTCAAAAAAGGTATCTAGACATAAAGAGGAAAACTTCTTTTAAAAAGAACAGCACTATGATGAAAAGTTAAAACAAAAGTAATTAAGAGTTTGGTTTAAACAGCCTAAGCTTATATTGAATAAACTTTGAGGAGAAAACACTTGTATAATCTACGAATTTTAGCCTTCTTGAGGATAGGTGGGAAGCTTATCTACTGATAATTCATATAAGTACATTTTAACCTTCTTAAAGCCTTCAGAGGGGTGCAGAGAACACCGCCACAGATGGTTACATTTCTGCAGATAGAAGTCCATGTATTTTAGAGGTGCAACAAATCGCCATTTGATATCAAAGGGCCCATGTCCTGTTCTGTGTATTTCTATTATATATTATATATATATTTATGTATGGACAAAGCACATTTTTCGGTAAGGTTTTGCAGACTCTGCTGTACTTCAAGCGCACACATTCTTCAAACTTGCTTAAACTGATTCAAGCTCAAATGGTCTCTCTCTATGTAAATTTCCACAAACCAAGTAACCACAAGCTGTTTGGGATGGCTCAAGAGCATTCCACAGAAAAGAGCATGCCTTAACCTAAAAAGACAGAAAGTTATTTCTGGGGTTGTAGAAAAATTGCTGGTTTATATCTCGTGTTGTAAATGGAAACAACCAATCAACTTGCTATTTCTGTTAAACTCATTCCATGACTCTGTCCAATGGAAAACAAACAAAAAACCACAAACAGCCAACCAAAAATCCAGGTACTGAAGGAAGAGGCTGCTTCTATAGGCACAAACATCAAATGATGAACAAGTCCTACACTAGAGAAAAATCTAGCATGCATCTTCAACACTGTACGCAGAAATCAAGAACAAGAAGTAACCGTTAAAAACTATACAAGGAAACGTTGCCTTCTTTTAAAAATAATTACACTGATTAATAAAACACTGATATTCACAACCTATCTGAACTAAACTGGTTTACATCTTCATGAAAAAAGTCAAAATAGTACAGAACATTTCTTTTTTTCCCTCTTAAAAAGCAGGAGGAGTGCCACACTGTCAAAGATTAACTGTTGCTGCACATGTATGTGTCAACCTTGTGCTTTCTGTTCAGGGGATACAGAACACAGGATCATGTTTCCCACTGAACTGTTTACAGAGTTTTGCCTATACAAATCAACCGTTTTTCCTACCTAATTCGTTACGGAGTTGCTATAACTACAGTAACAAGATGTAAGAGGTTCCAAGAAGTTCCCGTGAGAACTACTTAGGTTATTTTATGAATCAGTTTGGATTTTTCTTTAGTTCACCTACATTCACAAATATATACTGTATATGCACCTTGTGTATAAGAACTGCATGAAAACAGTCTGAAAAAAATAAAACATGGAAACTGAGGTGTGAGGCAGTCAGTCCCATTCCTACTTCTGATAATTATTATTTTATTCTTTTTTAAATATCACCACTGAAGAAACCCAATGCACGATATAGCCCCCAAACCCACACCGAACTGCTTTGCTGTGCATCTTTCCCAGCAGGTTTTCATACCTGCTTCTTCAGACAGAGCTTTTGGAGGCTACAAAAGCATGACCTGTACTTCTCCATCAGACAAGTTTATTTGTGTGATGTTTTTTCCAGATCTGGAAGTTTTTCAATTAGTGCTTTATGGTTCATGTTGATACTGGCTATAAGTCCTCCCTCATTGCCATCTGAGCCAGTGTAACTGATTTCTTCACCAGTCAGGGTAGTCATATGGCCACCCAATGCTCTCAAGACTGCATTTCCTGCACATATGTCCCACTTCTTAATGTAGGTGACATGGATATACACGTCAGCTTCTTCTTGATTCTTTTCAGCCACATCAAGGAGGGCCAACACTTTATAACCTAGAAGAAAAAGGCAGCAGTAAAAAGTTAAACCAAGTTTTCCTATTCATCATAAAGGATAAATCTACTGCTAAATGTTAATAATATGCACATGCAAGATTTAGGAAAGTGATGTCATTAATTATATCATGCCATCCAGTATAATGGCTGAGGCATCAATAACCTTTGTCTGCTTTCTGACCTGTAGAGAAAATTTGCAAAAGGAACACCTCCCCACCCCCCCCAATTTTTCTATGGCACCCCAATAAAGCCGATACACTACACAGGCTTATCTACAGGCCCATTGAAAGGACAAGACCAGAAACTCGACCGTAGTTGTGCTCTTATGGTCACTCGCTTATTTCTCAATCTCTGTATTATGTTGATATCTACCTTTTTTTACTTTCTTTTTGTTAAAATAGAAGGAAGCTGCATATACCACTCTTTATTAAAGCAACCCAGCCCAGGGCATTCCCCTTTATCGTACATAATGCAGTACCAAGTTATTGCTCAAAATAATATTCTTTCTTTTATGGCATTTTTTCAATTTCTCAGCTGTTCAACCAATACCCTTGTTTATCATTAAACTGTTCCTTTCTTTACCTTCTTATACAGAGTCAAGCCCTGGAGAAGATCTACTATAATCAGTTCCACTTTCACTTCCTTTATCATAAGAAAACTCATTTAGATTCATTGTCAAAAACCTATGCAAGATCTTCTCAACTAAACAATCTGTAAGGGAGCTCTAGTTTTCCATATTAAAAGACCCAGAAAGATACATTTCTGTAAAATTCAAATTTTGCATGGCTTTTAAAGTCTCAGAAAACAGCTATTGCTTCACACTAGTGCCTCACGTATTTGCATTCTATTGTGTACGGTTCCAAGCTAGCTAAAACCTCTGTGGACTGAATATGAGGCAGATAAAAATGGACTTCAGTGACACTAGTTTTCTCTTTTGACACAAGTGCAAGTAATAGTACCAAACTTCAATGACTTTTTCTTAAAACATCGTTTAATTAAACGTACTACTAGTTAACTAACAGCCAACAGATTCTCTTTCATGATTCTGTATTTGGTCACACAACCCTTTTTCTTCCACAGAGGCATCAGTGCCTTCAGTGAAGGCACATCAGCGTGTTCAATGAAAGGATCACAATAACATTGCTGGTCCAGGCTTAGATTCCCTAACTTGTCAATAGCCTAAAGCTTGAACTAAGTTTGCATCTAAGTTAGGATAAGTTAAGATAGGATGCTTAAGGAACCAAACCTGCTCCACCAGCGGGGATTATCACAGTCTTATTTCCAAATGTCTGCCGTGCAACTTGCTCAACTTTTCCTGCATGGGAGCGGGATACAATAATCCTTGGAGTTTTCTCATTGTAGGAGGAACGAGCTTTTACATTTGACCCACCATCCACCATTGCCCAAGCTACAAGAGAAACACAAATTCTGCTAAAGGCAAATTTACAAAAGGCAATCTCTGTTAAGTATCCTTTTATCTTTACACTTATCTGAGAAAATGGAATTGATGCCTCTGACTTAATTTCCCTCCCTACTATAAAAGAGAAAGTTAGGGCTGACAGAAGGAAGGGGTGCATGCCCACATGTGCACACAGGTGGAAGAGAAACAGCCTCCCCCCGTTCTTTTGTGCATATGGCATTATCCCACGCCTGATTATTCTTGTGTAATACTTCACAAAAACAGAGTAAGAAGGAAAAATCCCAAGTAGTAATATTTAGAACTTGCAATTGGAAAGACACTGAAGTTAAAAGGATGGCTCCGAGTCAGAAATAGATCCAGTATTTCCTCAAAAAACCTTTCTGTAAGAACAAAAAGCAGATAGCAAAAATGTTATGGAGTCATTTTCTTCAGAAGGATAGCAATGCTAAGGAAGGAAATAGCTGAGGAGGAGAGGAATACTAAGGAAAACACTTGATGGTGTGTTTCAGTGGACTGGATTTAGAATACACAGCCTCCCACTTGTTTCTTCATGAGGTTTAAAGCCAAGCTTTGTAGGTGGCATCCTCTAACCATTAATTTGACATTTACTTAGCAGACTAACCAGCAATTTCATCTCAGTAGAGGGACAGATTGTATGGCAACAGGCTGAGTTATGTTTAATAACAATGCCGACTGCCCTTTATTGCTTTGTATTTGTGTGGTAGTATTAGGAACAATCATACTGTTATTTCCAGCTTGGGAAATGAATACTCTTCACATAGAATGATAGAGTTGACTGCATCTCATCTGATGCCATGTATGAACATTTCACTTTGCTGTTATTAAAGGAGTTAAATTCTCAAAATTACAGTGCTAAAAAAAATAACATTTCTTCAGACAGATGTTGATACTTAGAAAAATAGTTCCAAAAAACCCCAGGATTCTTTAAGCATATTGGAATGTAGCATATACTTAAATGACTGGAAGTTCATTTTTAAAGACAGTAAAATATTATAGCAGAAAATATTGAACGTTCAGTGGGCAAAAAAGAGAACAAATAAGAAAATACATTTATTCAGTCTTAGTTTCTGTGCCAGAGCTACTGCATAACTTCACAACTCTAGAGGTCAGTATTGCCTAAGGGAAAATGAGAACAGACATTCTTGTTTCAAATATACAGCAAGACACACGTACTAAAACTACTTTGAAGTTTTCAGAAGTGCATACACATTGCCAAACCTGCAGCCACCCTCACTGACACATCATTAATATTAAAGAATTAATTCATTCAGGGTTGTGGCATTAAAAGCAGTTCAGATAATCATTAAAGCTATGCTAGATGGTCTTGCCTGTTACATACAAACAGTTGCCATTAAGATCTTTAATCTAGCTCTGTTATTCACACTGAATAAACACCAGCTCCTGGGTATAATATCACAGACCTAAGTTCTTCTGCTAAGAGAGCAAAGTACTCTTCTGCTAAAGATTACCAGCACATATGACTCCTGACTATGTGCAGGTTTCCCTTTGATTTGCTATAAGCAATCTGATTGAAAGGATCTTAATTCTTAAACATATTTTCAGTTAGCTTGTTTTAAATGCATCACTTTCATGTTAAACAAGGGCAACATTTTCCTTTGTGGTTTTATAGCAGAGAACACATTTGCAGTTCTAATTCTGAGGTCTGCAGCAGTGCTCTTTTGCCCCAGGTACTATTTTCTCATTTATAACTACAGATGTTCTCTCAAACATCACATTTTAATTAACAATGTGACTGAAGATGCTGGAAACATGTGAAGGCATAAAGGTACCTGTATATGCTGAGAACGGCTTGTGTATCACTCCTATTACCGGTTTACCATTTACAGCTACGCAAACCATTGTCGTGACATACTGTCGAAGATCCTCTGCAGGCAAAACAAAAAAGTGAGCAAGTTTACAGTCAGATGCCAAGAACACAAAAAGAAAGCGGGCCTGACATTAGAGAAATGTTGTTCTTTGAAGACTAGTCTATATTCTGCCTTTTAGAATTATGTAACTTTGTTGCATCTTCAAATAACCTTGCAGTTTTCAAAAGACTTTAAAGACTTCTCAGTTTTCCAGCAGTTTTTCCTGTTCAGTACATGTAACCTATACTCCTACCAGATCTAATGCTAACGGCTGTGTCTTATGCAGCATGTATTTTCATGGAAATCTGTGCCCCTTTATTCTCCCTTCTCTGCCCCACCTCCTATCCTCTACTGGTTCAAAGTTGGGAATTCAAATACCAAAGAACATTCACCTGGAAAGGTGATTGTATCAATGGAATATTTGCAGAAAGAACAAACCCATTTTTTTGTTTGTTCTGCAGCACTTAGCAGCAAGAATTTTAGTTGGATTGCCTTGAACGACTTATGTGACATCTCAAAACGTGTAAAAGGGGAAGATTGAATTACGCATGCTTTTCTGAAAAAAGGTAACAAAAACTTTTTTATATCAAGTTAAATAGGATATTCACATAGTATTCCCTTAAATAAACAAAAATATTCTGAGACATTTAGTGCTGTCACAGTAATAACGGAAATAAAGAAATGTATAATTCCAGCAGAATTCATGAAGGACAGTTACCATCTATTTTAGCAACTACTTACTTGCAAGGAATACCAAAGTCATTTCAGAGTTGGTATATATAAAAGTAAATGTTATGGTCTGATAACTAAGAGATTTCATTATGCAATTTGTTCAATTAAATCACACTAACTTTGACATAACACGCTTTAACAAGAGATGCCATTTTAAATACTTACTATTTTGTCTCCAGTATAAAAGGCAGACATCAGAATTACACACATGATTTGTCAACAAGAATCAGCTACCTGTGTATTCTTGTGTAGCATCTAACGGATCGATCCAGACAGTTACACTTTCTGCTGGAACCTCTTTAGGCTGTATTTTTTGTTTTATTTCTTCAGGAATAATGCGATCCCAAGAGACTGTCTCCTGATCAGCTGTATCAACATGCTCTTCAGAGTTTATCTATGACAAGACAAAAAAAGTAGTTGCATTAACTTATCAGATACAGTAACTGTGGTACTTGGGAAAATTACAAGTTTGCTTATATCTTTTCTTTCTCCCTTCACCTCCAGCTAAAAGTGAATGAATTAGTCATTTTTCAGCAACTCGCAAGCTATTACTGTCATGCAACAAGCAACAGAAAGCCACGATCCAGAGTTTTACTGCGAACTGCACCACAGCTGGACACTCTTTTCTTTGGCTGCAGCTCTTCCTACTGAACTTCCTCACAGTATGAATTGCAGGTTTTTAAAATCAAGTGTTAAATGCAGTTGCTTCAAAGACTACAAGCAGAACATTCGACTTTGGAGAATCATACAGCATACAGATATAGTAGGGGTCTAATGTTCCATTTATACAGACTGAAATGTACTGATATTTTATCAACAAAGATTTTGCAGACTGTGGTATGACTTGAGGGAGTAGGAATCCAGTATATATTCATGATTCCGACATTGAGTTACAACTAGCAATTTAAGCAGCTCAATTGGATGTAACCATTACACAACTGTCAGATATATGTTATTTTTTAAACAAGACAATAACAATAACATTCCTTATCTGTCTTTAGGGTAGGTTGGGGTAAGGACCTAAGGAAGCCCATGAAGAACGTTTATAAACAGCAGTCAAAAGTCACATTTAAGCTTATTGTCACTTGCTGCTTAGCTTAATGAATGTTATTCAGGACCAGAGGGCATTTCAGTATGCCAAACAGTGCCTGGTCCAGTAGCAGAGAACACAGTCCCAATCTGCTGAATGAAAGAATGTTCTGCAAAACCCAATACAATGTCGCTGTGACTGCAGTAGCAAGATATTTTTGAATCGCAAGAGATGCAGTTATCACAAAACACTGTATGTAATGATCTCTCATGTTACAAAACATCACATACCCTGGCAAGAAAAACTACTGGGGAAATACGGATCAACCTGCCTTAACCTACTCATACCGGTTTACTACCACTACAAACATGGTTTATAGGAGAGCTATAATGCAACTGGACATAAACAGTGCTAACAGGGATTTAGACAAATCTATCCCATTTACTTTCAGCACCTCAGTTACATTAGGAGACTAGTATTTTTATGCTTCTTCTAGTGCCATCACAAGGAAATCATTGCTACTGGGACTTTCAAGCTTCAACCTCTGTGAACCTTTCAGAAACGCATCACTCCACTAATCATTCAGTGGGATGATGATGCTTATGGCTTAGATGTGTCTGTTACATGTCTGAAATTGAGTGTAACCAATCTGAACTTTTAGGACAGTTTAGAGTATTAGGAACACAAGCTTTTTTATACTTGGTAACTTTAAAGGTGCCTGCCTTTGATATAATTCTAAAGGGATGCCAAACTGACTAGCTCTGATGGCCAGTCAGGGCAAAATAGCAGGTGCACATGGGATGCAATGCGTCTCCAACCTAGAACCAGCTATTTCCCTTTACTTGCTACAGATGGAGTTGAGACTGCTAGCTCAGATTCACATATCTGACTGCTAGAGCAGATAAAGCTCCTCTGACTAAAACTTGTTATTACAAATGTTGTAGGCAAGTGACATTGAAAGACAATGAAAGTAAAGAAATGGTTAGATTATATTTGAATGTTACACTTTGTATCAGCTGGATTTTTTCATAACACACGTCATGGTAAGAAAAGACACCACGCACCTCAGCCGAAACAGATTATTAGCAGAGGCCTAAGGGCCATCTTCTCCAAGAGAATTCAAAAAAAGAAGGCAAGCAGAACCACAGCAACTCCAGCCATACATCATAGCTGTCTCCTCACGTAAAACCAGTGTTTGAAGCATTGTATGCCAAACACAGAGTCCTTGAAGTTGCCATGACATTTACAAATTAAACATCTGTCACTGTACAATAAACCTGGCGATTGTGTTTTCCCCAAGGGAAAACAGTCCTGCAAAGTCAAGATGACTAGTCCCACAGACTTGGCAGCCTCAACACAGCCCCTGGGCAGTTTAAGTTCCACTACAGCATATTACACACCACCATAAAAAAAACCCAAAACACAAAAACATTTCCTCAACAGAAGGAAGAGGCCTCCAAAAAGTTACAGGGTTGGAACCAATCCTCAAAAGGAAGAATATCTTGTTAAACCTGTTGTTACAGTACACTAAAATTAAAAGACTGAAGCTATCTGAAAGGTATTGTTTTCAGAGAAAGACCTCCTACTATTTCAAATTTTGTAGCAGCGGCCATGATGCTGCAGCATTTATAATGCTTGTGAGGAGTCTCTTTCACCACCCATTATTGATCTGCCAGAAAAAAAAAAAAAAAAAAGAAAAAGGGGGAAAAAGGTAATAGTGATGAAGTTGCAGAGTCATCTGGAGAAAATAAAAATCAGCTGTGTCACTAGTTCTTCCATTCATATACGCATTTACTCTGTAGCCTTGGCTGAATGTTCCACAAGTCATAGTCCAAGTAGAAATTCATAGCCATTCCACCACACGCAGTTATTAAATGTATTTATTGTTAGGAAGTTACATTATACTTTTGCAAGACATAGTTTCCTGACAGGATCATCAGCCTTTAACCCTGGGAACAGCTCTTCTTCCCTCCCTCCTACCCTGTTTTTTTTCTTTTTTTTTTTTTTTTAATTCATGAGAATATACCCAGAAAACATGCCTTTGTGTTAATACAATGCTCCGTTCCTACTTGTCATTCTCATTTGCTGGAAGCCTCCAGAGGCCATGACCTTACATTTCAAGCTTTTCTTTAGTGATATAGATACGTAGTTGACTTCATTCCCAAGTCTTCACTCAGACATTAGGAGTAGCTATGGTAGAAAGACAATCACAACACCAAATGTTTCAGACAACAGAGCTTGTTCCAGCAAGAGATTCTGAGCCAATTAAACTGCTACGTTAGCATAAATAATTATGAAGTTTGCACGCTTGCTATCATATATGTAACTTTGCCTACTCCTAAGAGTCAGATTTAGATAGCAACCCATCATGCAAGAACTTGAGACATCAAGCAGAAGACAGAAATAAATAGCTATTTGGGGTTAGCCACCTAACATCTGTAAGCTGTAAAAGCCTGTCTTGGTAAGTTCTGTAAGCTGCCCAGCAACACAGAGCTTTACAGACTGCAACTGAAAAGTGAACAAAAATTATTTTATAAACGAGGCAGTCTGGCTGAATCTTGCCAGTGCAGAGCTTCCTCAAAATGAGTCTACGAGGTGCAGGAAGCCCATAACGGATGAGGGATGCTGCTTGCGTGAGCCAGCAGCAGAGGTCCAACAGCAACACCGGGATCAGCCCACACTGTGACTTCCGGAACACCCAGACGTTCCCAGCCTTCGGAAACCCATTGCACAGAAAACACTGTCCTCCGGCATGTTGGTGATTGGAATCACATCTGCTCAGGGACACGGGAAGCAACTCAGGAGTGTACTACAAACCTGTGTGGATAAATGCAGTGCTCTGAACAAACAGCCAGTCCCAACCAGATAAAGACTTCAGGGAACTTCACAGTGTCTCGTTGTCCTGTGTAGGGCTACTCCCTACCAGCACTTCACCATGTCTTTGTGGCAGTTTTGGGTGATGACCCAACAAACCCACTTGAATGCTAGCTAGCTGTCCATGTTGAGGTGAACAAACTCAGCTTTTTCCTGGTTTAAAAGAATAGGACACAGCTTGTAGTTTTGCCTTTGAATTCACCCATTAAAGATAAACTAAACCGCAAAAATATATGTTAAAAAAATTAAATAGAAACTTGTGTTCAAATACATAAAGGATTTTTTTAAATAAACATCAGTACATGAAAATGTAATACTTTTCTTAGAAAGTGTTTGGCGGTATGTGAATTTAGTTTAATTTATTACTCCCTCTCCTTCCCCATATCCTTATCCATTCCAATACTCATTTTATATTTTAATATGCAAATAATCCAGTATCTTGAAAAAGATGAGGTAGCACAGCTCTTTATTCCTGAGAGTGTCAATATCCCCATCTGATAATTAAGTCCTCTCAAAGCCAAATCTCAGTGCTGTTTCATTAGAATAGAAAACAAAATGAGAACACCACAATTATAAAGAAGAAATACCAGTTAAGCTACTCAAGGAAAAAAAAAAAAAAAAAAAACACACACCACAAAAAACCCCACACAAAACCCCTACAGTTTAGGTAACAACAAAAGATAATAGTCACTAGTCAGAATATGAATGTAAGAGTATTCCAGGTATTACATTTCAAGAACAGAGACGGGCACAGGTTGCCCAGAGAGGTGGCAGATGCCTCATCCCTGGAATCATTCAGGATCAGGTTGGACGGGGCTCTGAGCAACCCGATCTAGTTGAAGATGTCCCGGCTCATTGCAGGGGGTTTGGACTAGGTGACCTTGAAATGTCCCTTCCAACCCAAACTATTCTCTGATTCAATGGACAAGTCTATCGATTTGAATGGAACTATGAAAATGGAAAGCCTGAAGGCCCTGACAAAACAGCGTGCACAGGGGAACGTTAGTAAAACATTAATAGATGTTTGACTTTGTTTTTCTGTTTTGCTAGGGCACTAACTGCACGACATACACAGCCACTTCATCAGTGATTATGCAACATAAGCATTATGTGTACTCAAGACTCAACTTTGTCATTTGTATTCATGTGACAGGAGAATGGAGGAAAGGAGTGGAGGAACCAAAGTAAGTAAATGATTCCAATACCTTCTTACTGGCTGACACAGATGTCCCCTGTGGACAGCGGAAGCTAAGTTGTCACTATATGCACCCTCTGGACTAACGTCCAGAGCAACCAGCAAGAAGATATCCACAACTATGCACCTTGAAAGGCATACTGACCTAATAGGTGGCTGCATGGTACTGTACTTGACTTGCTGTTATTTGACTGTGCTTCAGAGATGTCACAACCCTGGGGAGAACAGTTCCACCAGCAGTCTTTGGGCTTTCCCTTGCTTATGGGCCAAGCCTAACACCTCACCCCTCCAACTA